ACTTCCTTATATTCAAGTAATGTACATTACTATTTCCTTATTTATGATTATTGATTAGGATGAGGTCTAAAGATGATATGTATGACTAAGGTAGCTTCAAAGGAGTACTTAGTATGGTTGGTATTATGGGATTCCAACCATACATTGCACAAGTATTCCTTAGAGTTGCTAAGGTGGTGGTTTTATTATGTTATGAAAGTTTAATGTGATTATGACTTGTGTTTTCCATTGAAAGTGCATGTTGATTTCCAAAACTTGATAAATGCATACATTTAACTAAAATGTCCTTTTTATCATATTTCAAGGATTTTATGCATGCTTCCATACTTAGTACTTTATGTGCTAACCCATTTCTTCTACATTTTTATGATTGTAGGTTCCGGCTAGGTGACATATCCTTTCCTTTCTTGAAGAAGTCTTGGATTTCTTATATCCAAGACTTGTGGTGAGTCCTCAAGTTTGAGGACGGATTATCCATTTCTTAGTTTCTATTGTACTTCTTCTGTTGAGACTTTATTGATGTAAAGGGCAAAGTCCCAAACTTTGTATTCCTATGTTTTAGATGGTGAATGAGACAAGGTCTAGACTCTTATGATTTTCTTCTATGAAAAAGAAGTTTAACTTCGATTGTAAATTTTTTTAAAATTTCTGCATTATTCTTATGGCTTTATGTGTATGATTATGCTAAGGGCATGTATGTGACCCCTTTTAGGGTCAAGTACGTCGTGTTACGTCTAGGGGGTACCCCTGGGTCGTGACAACTATAATTTAGGCATGAATAATGACATAATTCAATAAACTAAATCAATAGATACTTAATCTCTTCACATGCTTTCATAATCAATTAATCCCAAATCACAATTCATAATTTAGTATTTTGGGGGAATCATGGGTTCATGGGGGAATTTCATCATAAATAAACATTAATTCCTCAATTCAATCATAATTCATCATAAAACTACCTTTGAAAACGTTTTGAAATTGAACCCATGACTTAGATTGAAACCCTAAATTTTGGGGGAATTTTGAAGATTTGAAATCATGTTTTAAAGGGACTCTTTGGGTGGAATCTACCCAAAGATGAAAACTACTATACCTTGAGTGAATAAACTCCATGAAATTGAGTGAGAAAGATGAAATCTTGAACTCCAAACCTTGACTTCTTCTTCTCCGATGGTGGTGTGTAGAGAGAGAATTATTTGGAGAGGAGGTAGTTTCTATTTTTGTGTTTTGGGAATAATGAGTTGTAAAAGAGTGTTTAATAGCGTAAAATAGCCTTAAATAACTCTAATTAATCAAAATAAACCAACCCCTAACTAATCTAACCACCCTAGGAATTTACCACATTGCCCTAACTAGGCCGAACCTAGGCAGAACTCAGGGGTGACCTACGCTCACAAACCCACGGACCGTAGGTGGGCTGACACCCCATCTTGCAGGTACATTATTTGGGTAAGCAACCCCTCATCTAGAGCCTTGACCTACGGACCTCCCCCAGGAGGTGTGAATGGACCTAAGGGGAGTAGGTCCCATCCGTAGGTCCTAAGGTTTTTGACAGCGTTTTGGTTCTTGGGATGCTTTGGAGTTTAGACTTTAGGGTCCTCCTCAAGGACCCTTGGTTGGTCCTTGGGGAGTCGTACCTTGACTTTTAACCTAAACTTGGGAACTCATTTTACAACATAAAACCCCATAACAAACTCAACAATACACTCGTAAGGCTCTAGTTTCACCTACTAGTTTTCCAAGTCGTTTCACTTGCCTTGGCCCTTGCACTTTTCCTTTGGCTCTTGCCCCTTGTCTTTTCTTGTCACCCTCTTACATAGCCCTAGTTGGCCTACTAAACCGCGGGGTGTTACAATATCTCCCCTTTGGGGACATTTGTCCTCAAATGACATTTAGGAAACTCTTTAAGATAACGACTCTACACTAGCAGCCTGTCATGCATGCAACACATCTAAATGCACACAACCAAGGAGGAAAACTTTAACTCCAAGCTAAACATACTGAATGCAACACAATGAAGTAGGAACTTCATATAACAACCCATTATACATGAAATCTAATAGCTAATCAATTCTAAGGAGGAACTACCATCTCCGAGATAAACATGCTCAACACAAACTCATGGAGCTTATATGTAATTCTCACTCAAAAAGCATTCATTCAAGGAAGAATCTCTCAAATCCGAGCTAAGGTATGCCCATCAATTCATCTCATGAAGTCTATAGGAAACTCATACTTAATGCACTACAACATGAGGAAATCAGTCATGTAAAGTCAATTTTATTCAAGACACAAGATTTCATGAAAATGCATCACATAAGGAAATCATGGAAACATCTAAACACACATGACCTCAAACAAGGGGCTAACCATAAAGATCTCTTCGTTGGTTCTCTCTTTCTTAACTTGCCCGTCTAACATCATAACAATAACTCCCTCATATGAACAACTTTCATCCACTCCCAAAACTTCTAAGGGAACTAGGGATGCTGGACCTCTAACACCCTCTTCTTAACTTAGAGACAGGGAAAGCCAAATACACCAATGCCAACTCACTTGGCAAAGCTAACCCATAAGCACCCTAACAACATGAATCAAGATCTCACACGGGCCTACAAAACTGGGCTAATCTTTCCATTCCTACTAAACTCACTACGCCGTTCATAGGTGGGATATTTCAAGTAAGACCGATTCATTAATATTATGAACACACAATAGCTTTTCTATCTAGGCACACCATCTACCCCTTGAGAGGGAGACTCAATGGAATTTCTAAGCATTGTCTCTTTCAATTATACTAAGGTCGGATCAAGACATTGCTTAACTGTCACATCTAACACAAAAAATGATCTGGAACCATCTTAAACCATTACACTACCCTTGGTAGAGTCTATTATACAAATAACATTGCCACAATCATAATAACCATACCGGGTTCTAAAAGTTGTCTTCAGGACACCACCATTTTTCACCCTTATTTTGTGCTATTCAGACCTAAGGTCAAATCATAGAAAGGTAACTAACTCTTTGAAGTTTTTCAACACTTGAACCTCTTTCCCTCATCTTCACTAGGTGGTACATGCAGCCCTCAAAGTAAACATTAAGATAAAACATAATCCAAACTTTTGGCATAGATTTTCACCCCTTCCACTCTTGGATAAGCTCATTCGGGAACTAGCAATTGACTATACGGGTTCTACAATAATATAGGAGCATAATAGGAGTGCAACAAAACCATTACAAAGATAACATCAAAATCTTGCAAATCACAAACATCAATTAAGAAGCTGTCAATATACAGGGATCCACATCAGGAGCACACCCTTCTTCAACTCTAGCTTGAACTGCATAAAACCGATTTCTCTTAGAAGCATCATCTCTACCTTTAGCCTTTTTCTTCGAACAATTCCTACTTTTGTGACCACTTTTACCACAACTAAAACAACCCTCTATGCAGGGGCGGAGCCACGTAGGCTCCAGAGTGTCCAATTGGACACCCTTCGTCGAAAAATTATACTATATAGACACGTAAAGTTTTGACTTTATATTGGTATATATAGAATTTGGACCCCCTGAAATAACAAAGTAATGCGCAGTGGAGTTTGCAATAGTCGACGCAATCCTACTCTTTGCCCCAGTTTGATTCCCTGCAGGGGTGTTTTCTTTTTCTGTAATTATTTTGACTTCTTGAATTCAATGAAGTAAATAAACATGCATAATATTAACATAAATGTTCAGTAGCTTGGTGGTTAATAATGTCATGAATGGCTCTAGTGACCCAAGTTCGAATCCCTCCTCCACTGACTATTTTTTGCAATTAAAATTGAATTATTTCCTTAAATTTTAATATCGTTTCCTTGTGGAATAAGATTTCCTTCAATTTAATATTTTTTCCTTGTAGATTTCATTCAATTAAAATTGAATTATTTCCTTAATTTTTAATAACTTTTCCTTGTGGAATAAGATTTCCTTAAATTTTAATACTTTCTCCATATGGAATAAGGTTTTGTTTCTCCATAAATAGGAGACTCATTTACACAAATTATATCACAATATTCTTAAGAATAAATTCTCAATAATTCTCTCCTTGTTTTTTCTTCTGGTTCTATTATTATACAACAAAATAACCAAATTAATATTTTAGTTTCAAGTTTCAATGGACATGAGGAATTATTATAATAGAGTACCAAAAAAAAGTTTGGACTTCTCTGAGTCAACCAAATAAAGAAACAACGGTAGATCAATTAGAGATGTTGTCACATTCTTCTAAAAAACAAAGCATTTATTTAAATACTCTAGAAGTTGATCCAGCAAAAAGAACTTCAATTTTAAATCATGATCCAAATCTTCGTGATGAAATAAGAAGGGCATATCTTTAACTTGATCCTTGTTGACCAAATATTACATAATACCCTCAATCATATATTGCTAAGTCAATGCGTTGTTTCAACTATGATTGGTATAAAGTGTATGATTGGTTAGAGTATAGTGACAGTGCAGATGCAACATATTGTTTACCTTGTTATTTATTTAAAGGCAATAATATTCATCAAGGTGGAGGTGAAGTATTTTCAACAAAAGGATTTAACAATTGGCACATAAAAAGTAAGCTTGACGAACATGTTGGTGGACTGACTAGCGTTCATAATCAAGCAAAGAGAAAATGTGATGATCTAATGCAACAACGACAGTCCATTCGTGCTGCATTAGATAGGCAATTTGATCAGATTAAGCTTGAATATTGGACTCGCTTAAATACTTCAATTGATGTGATAAGACTTCTCTTGAATCAAGGATTGCCACTCTGCGGTCACGATGAAAGTGAATAACCATTGAACAAAGGTAAGTTTGTTAAAGTTCTTTCCTCGTACAGAGATAGGTGTGAAAACATCAAACCTTTCGTATTAGAAAATGCTCCAAGAAATAATAAATTGACTTCTACAGATATTCAAAAAGAACGTGTGAATGCATGTAAGATAGAAACATTGAAGTCTATAATGGAGGATCTAAATGGTGATTATTTTGCTCTATTAGTTGATGAATTTTTTGATGTGTCATGTAAGGACCAAATGGCTATTGTTTTACGATATGTTGATAAAAAAAGATTTGTAGTGCAAGCATTTACTGGACTTATTCATGATAAAGATACTAGTGCTTTATCTCTGAAGAAAACAATTGTTAATGTGTTTGCTCAACATTCATTAAGTTTATCTTATGTACGCGGACAGTGTTATGATGGAGCTAGCAATATGCAAGGTGGTATCAATGGTCTTAAAATGTTGATTATGAAATAAAATAAATCAGCTCCTCCCATTCGTTGTTTTGCTCATCAACTTCAACTAACTCTTGTCGTAGTTTCAAAAAAATGCGTTCAAGTGGGAGAACTTGTGTTATTGGTTTCAAATATTTTGAATGTGTTGGGAGCTTCTTTTAAACGAATGGATGAATTACGACAATCTCAAAAAGATAATTTTCAAAAGGCATTAGATATGGATGAAATAAAAATAGGTAGAGGCATGAATCAAGAACTTGGTCTTATTAGAGCCGATGATACTCGTTTGGTATCTCACTACAAAGCATTTCAAAACTTTATACTTTTGTTTGACTCTATTATTGATGTACTTGATATTCTTGTTGAAGATGCAAATACTTTAGATGAAAGAGCTAAAGCATCAGGATATCTTAGAAGTTTTCAAACTTATGAGGTTGCTTTCATGTTACATTTGATGAAAGATAGTTTGGGAATCACTTATGATCTTAATATATCACTACACAAAAAGGAACAAGATATTGCAAACGCAATGATACTTGTTGAAGTAGCCAAAAAAAGGCTTCAAAAACTAAGAGATGATGGATTGGAGACACTTATCAACAAAATATCTATGTTTTATATCAAACATGACATCTTGATACCCAATTTTGATGAGCCCTATGCTAACTCTGGAAGATCACGACGTAAAATTGTTGATCATACTATTTTACATAATTTTCCTGTGGAAGTATTTTATAAGATTATTGATTGGCAACTTCAAGAACTTAATGATCATTTCAATGAGGTGACAAGTGATTTGTTTCATGGAGTAGCTTGCTTGAATCCAGTTAATTCATTTTCTAGTTCATCGGAAAAAGGCAAAATGGTCTGGTAGACCCTTGTACTTGTACCCGTTTGTATTGTGAATCCTTCTACTTACCCCCTTATCATCTGAACCCCCAAACTCATTTAAACTCAACCTGTTGATCCCTTTCTACTCATCATGAATCTCAATCGCGTTGATGTCACATTTCATGTCAGATAAATTTTGCTACATCATTGTTTATTTTTATAATAATTTCTTTTTGGACAAAAAATCAAAACGTTATTATGCAAATTTTACAAAATTAAAATTAAAATTTATTCTTTTGAATTAAAATTTTGGGTCTCCTTAAAGCATCTACCGTTTTCACCGTGAAATGGCCCAATCGCCGAAGAAAGTTGCCGCTGCCACCACTCCTCTTGCCGGCGAGACCACAAATACTCTCTCCCTCATCTGTCTCCATCTTCTTTGCACACTTTCACCATTTTCTTACCTCCTCCTCCTCCAACCTCCATAAATCCAAAAATCATAAGCCGTCGCACCAGCTCCTTGCCCCTCACCAGCCTCATTTCCCTCTTCATTGTCTTCCTTTTTTCGTACCATCGATGACTCCTGCGAACCACCAGGAACCCCCCTATGCTCTCCATCCACTCCGGCGTACCAGAAGGGCAGAAAATTCCTCACTGCCTCTGGTGTACCAACATGCTCCTCGTCGCCTCTGGTGTACCAGACCACCTAAAGAAGATGAAAGAAAGAAAAAAAGAGGGTTGGATAAAAATAGAGATGGCTGAAAAAGGTAGGTCGTTGGGTGAAGAAGAATTATTTTTTCTTTTTCAAGTTTAATATTTTACTCTTCTAATTTAAATATTTTTTAAATTTAAATATGATGTTCACTTGCCTTAATAGGCGTGTCGTCTCACTCTCTTGCCAATTCAACCATATTAGTGCCGCATAAGCAAGGTCAATAGTCAAAGGGGTTTGATACATTGTGTGTCATTAAGTGTAAGGGTTCAGATGACAAAGGGGTAAGTAGAAGTGTTCACAATACAAATGGGTACAAGTACAGGGTCCACCAGACCATTTTGCCTCGGAAAAATAATGAGCATGGATGAATTATTGCCTGATCACTTTGATCAATTTAGTATGGGCGTCCTTCAGAATTAGCTTGCCAATTACATTATCGATGTACGCGATACTGATAAAAGATTCTCTGATTTAGGTGAACTTGGTGAACTTTCAAGAAAATTGGTAGAGACAAAGAAAAACTTAACTTATCCACTTATATTTCACTTAGTGAAATTTGCTTTGCTTTTGCCAGTTGCTACTGCAACAATGAAAGAGCCCTCTCGGCAATGAAGTATATTAAAAATAACTTGCGAAATCGAATGGATGATGAGTTTTTATATGGTTGTATAGTGCCTTATGTAGAAAAGAAAGTATTTCGTACTATTTCTAATGTGTCTATTATAAAAATGTTTCACGATATGAAACCTCGTCGAGTACAATTGTAATAATATATTTAAATTATGATTTCAATAGTAGTTTATTTTCTTTATGTTAGTTTTGAATTATACACTTGTAATTCTATTAAAAATATTCTTAAATTTAATTAAATATTGCTTAATTTGATTATTTGTTTTGGTAATTTAAATCATCAGTTATTTTTAAAAAAATTACTATTAAAAGTTTGGCGCCCTTCATGAAATTTCTTGCTACGCCACTGTCGGCCACTAGAGATGGAACATATTTCGACAATTAAATTAACTTTAGAGAATATTCCTTCATGATCATACTTCTTTGACAACGGTTAAGGAACTCATGCACCTTTGCTTCCCTTATCTCTAAGGGATAGAACCTATCAAGAAATGCCGACTTAAACACTTCCCACTCTATGATACCCGCTCCTACCTTAGGTTCTAATTCTGAGTTTCTTTTTCTTCTGATTCTAGTTCGTTGTCAAGAATCCTAAACTGATTTTCAACTCGTAACTACTCTACTTGTTGCCTATTGGTTCTTGAATTCACTTCTTTTTTAGTGTCTTTTCTTTTCATGCTTTTATTCATTTTACTTCGTAGTTAACTTCTTCATTCAAGTCCATTTGTTTTAACCGAGTCGTTCGTCTTTATTTAAACACAAATCAATTCTGGCCAAGAGTAGGATTGACTCTTTTTTGTGATCACCTGAGTATAAGCAATCTTCAACATTAGCCACGCCAATTTGAGAAGCAATCAAAGGTGTGTAAACACGAGCGATTGTGAGTTCATTTTTCTAACGCTAACATTGTTTGTAATTTTTTGTGAGTTGGCATTTTGTAGATACAAGGAGTTATAAGGAATCATGTACTCAATAGCCTTAGATCCATGTGATTATGATTTGGGATACTATGAATGTATTAATGAGGGCTATGGATATGATGATGATGGTGATTATGGAGGCTATGATGATAGCCATGATCAAGAGCCGAATCGGAATGAGAGCTACTATTCTGGAGGACAATATGAGGAAAATGGTGAACATAGCTCTTATGGTGAAGATGGAGAAGAAGAAGAATCTTATGGTAGCTCCTATGATGATGAGGGAGCATGTAAGAAGTCTTACTCTCACTCAGTGAGTGAAAATGGTTCCTATGATGATGCGTACACTTCCCACTCCCACGATGAAGGTAAGGTAAGGTATAATACTCGTTTATATAAGAATTATGAGGAGCATGCTCCTAAGGCTTGTGAAGATTAATCTTCTTACTTTTATGGTAAACCTTGCCCTAGTCGAAGTAGTGTATATGGTTACACTAGGTCAAGTCAAAGTTATCTGAGGGGAAGAAGTTAGTGTGCGACTCTAAATTGTAAGGATACTATATCCTATAATTCTCATGGTAATGAACACTTATAAGGATACGGAACCCAAGGTAGGTTTGAAGGATGTGTCAAGGGTCTCAAAACCAAAAGGATTGATTTTCCTATCTTTGAAGGAAGACGTGATCCCGAAGTATATCTTGATTTGAGGTGACAATGTGAGCAGACTTTCCCAAACCATCATTTGACAGGTCAAGATCGACCCCTGTATGCCCTTTTTCATTTGAAAGGTCTTGCATTGGGTTTGTGGAATCAAGCGGGAAAGCTCCTAACAGTCCAAGGAAATACCCATCCATTGACATGGGAATAATTGAAGGGGCTGATGAGGTTCAGGTATGTGCCAAAGGGGTACACAAATCTTTTCAATGTCGATTCGAGAAGACCAGTTCTTAGGACAAAGGTTGGCATTATGGGGCTTAACCTTTTCCTCGATGATAGGTACATTCTAAACTACATTACTCCAAATGTAGTAGTCTACATGGGACTACCTCGACTATGCAGGACTTATCTATACGCCATGGAGGGATGTAAGGTCACCAAGGGGGAAAGGTCTATTTCAGACGCGGTAAATACTATGAGGAGGTTTGTTGTGAATAATTCCCATGGCTTCTTGTCATTTAAGTTTGGGGAGCAATTGATTTATTGAACATAGGGTCCCAAACTAGCAGAATGGGTATAAGTGTGTAATGGACCATTCGGGAACACCTCTATTTCCTCTTTCTAAGGTGAAAAAACGAGAGACAAAAGATTGAGAGGTGTAAGGGAAAGCAATGTGGCAACCTTAGAGTGGAAAAATGAGAGTTTGAGAGGAGTGAAGTGAGAGGGTTGCTATAATCTCAATCTAACATTTTTGTTCATCCTTCACTTTTTAGGGATTCTTATGTAGGTACAAGTATGATGAATGTAGGAACACAAGTTCCCAACAAAGAGCCTACAATCGAAGGTGTGATGGATGCACTTATGGGATGTCCTAACATCCAAGGTAAAGAATACCTTTCTTGCGGGCGTCAAGGTACAATAGCTAAATTTAACACTTTTACCATTGCAAATGAACAAAGTGTAAATGATAGTTTGTCTTTATGTGAGCCTATTGCTTCTTTACCATGCGTTGATAATGTACTTGTTGAGAATGTGGAAACACTAGTTGATCCTATTGATGATCGGATTGATTCTTCTAGTAAGATTGATTTGTGTCCATTTAGTGTTGACACCTGTGCTTTGAATGATAGTTCATTATCTTGTGATAATTGTGTTGATCAACCTGTTTATGAGTGTGGTTCACTGGTTGAGGGTTCTTGTAATATGATTAAGACACCTCAGGTTGGTGGTACTAATGATAATGTTGATCACTTGAATATGAGTGACTCTATGATCATATCTTTTGTGGAATATCCGATTGTTTGTTTTGCTTATAGATATCATGTACTCGAAAATGCTTCAAAAAATGATATGTGCCTTTTTGAAGGTGAACTTGAATGTTGTAATTCTTCCCTAGTGGTTGATTATTCCCTCTTTAAGTACAATATTTTATTTGAAGATGATGAAATCACTCCTACTGTTGTACCTAGTTGTGTGAATAATGAGAGTAGTATAGTTCTTGATAGCTATACTTGTTATAGTAACCCACTATGGTGTGAAGTTTTCCCTCCCAAAGATGGAAATCTCTTCTCGGAAGATAAGAGTACTCTTGGGAGAAGAAATGTGATTAGGAGGAAAGTGGTGTTTTTTTCCCATTACCTCTTGTTCTTGGTGTGTCCTAATTGTCAATGGTCTGACTCATGAGTTGGAATCTATTAGTAGTTATACCCATGATAACATCCTAGAGGAAGGTGATTTGATAGACATTTCTCTATTCCTTGTTTACATAGGATGATGCGCATGCTGTTGAGTGAAGTATGTTGTTAGATGATGAGGGTGCCTATCGGGTAAAAGGGGAAGTACTTAATCAAGGTCCATGTATTTCCTTTCCATTTGACCCCGGTAGTAATAGGAATTATGGAACTTGTGAAATGATGCTTGGTTAAGATGACAAATGTCATTTGGTACTTGACATAGAGAGGCCTTGTGCTTGTTTGATTGTGGAACCAATGAGGACTTACATATAAATTTATTTAAGTGTATTGGTTCCTTCACTCTACCCCTTTGTCAATGTTTCTTATTTAGCCATGTATCTATTAGTTTGATGGGTTACAAACCCTTGGTTGATTTTTGTGATGCTTG